CCAGAGGAGCAAGAGGAGGAGAGTGGGAAGACCTCAGAACCCCTGCTGAGAACGAAGACTGCTGTGTGGGAGTCGAGAGCGTGTTGCTGCTGCTCGGGAACCCAGGTTTCTCACCACCATCCTCTCCCTCTTACAGCGTGGTCCTCGCTGGGTGCCGCCGCTGCCCAGGGTAGAAGACTGCTTCGTTACTTCTGGTTGTCTGACTTGTTCAGTGGGTGTTGGAGTTTGTTCTTACTACACCAGTTTCTTGAGATTGTGTAGATAACACATTTTTCAAATGAGTTCTGGGATTGACTGTTCCAGAGGGGATGGAGAAAAAGCACAAAAATGCTTTGCTTCTCAGGAGTGTTGAATGCCTGCCCCACTGTTGTTTGGGGAGATGGGAGTGGGCTTCCGGGTCCTATGTGAATGGTCCCCTTTGATGATTTACAGTTGCTTAGAATAAAACTTGCTACTAGCAAAAAAAACTCATGTTGGATATTTTTCTCCCTTTGTCAAGAATAACAGTATGTTATTCAGCAGTAATGCCTGCCAAGCATACATGGTAGAAAGTACTTTAGTATGTCATGTAGCTTGCCCTTTGCCTTTTTTTTTTTTAAGATTTTATTTGTCAGAGAGAGAGAGAGCACAAGCAGGGAGAGCAGCAGGCAGAACGAGAAGCAGACTCGCTGATGAGCAAGGAGCTTGATGTGGGACTCAATCCTAGGACCCTAGGATCATAACCTGAGCTGAAGGCAGACGCTTAACCGACTGACCCACCCAGGCGCCCCTTATTTCATTATTCTTATAAAATATTTTAAGTTAACTGTAGAAAAAGTTGTCACATACTAATCTGCATTTCAAATGTAGAACTGGGTATTAACTTTTGGGTGTCTTGTTTGTGTGGGAGGAATCCTTATGACAAAACCCACCAAAACATCAGCAGTTATAGCTACTGGCAAAATCTAGAGGGGAAATCTGGAACCTCCAGATGGGGTTCATTTGAGGGGATTATTTATTATAGTTTCTTGTTTCCAGGTTGTAATGCTAGAATTTGATTTTTTTGTATGTTTACCTTCGTTTGGAGCTAAGGAATAGATAGATGGTTTGTGCAAGAACTTAATGTGGGAATTGTAGGTTTATCTTTTTTTTTTTTTAAGATTTTATTTATTTGAGAGAGAGAATGAGAGAGAGAGCATGAGAGCGGGGAGGATCAGAGGGAGAAGCAGACTCCCCGCCGAGCAGGGAGCCTGATACGGGACTCGATCCTGGGACTCCAGGATCATGACCTGAGCCGAAGGCAGTCGCTTAACCAACTGAGCCACCCAGGCACCCCTGTTTTAAATACTTGGAATACATAAGTGTACAAACAGATCTTTGCCCTAGTTAAATTTATATTCTACCAAAATCTGTCTCTTCCCTGTGCTGCAGGTTTGCATAACCCTTTCCCAGACTAGCGCAAGATTCCATTCTGTTTGTGTGTGTGTGCACTCACAAGTATCTGAGTAGCCCCCACGTGCAAGGTCAGCGGACAAGTACATGGTTAAATCCGAGATCTTGCTCTTGGGTTTATAGGCTGTTAAGGGAATCTAATACAATTAGAAAATTACATGTCCCAAGTGAGACTAAACAGGTCGAAATTCAGAGAACAATTAAATTTAATTGTGAGGTGTTGGGGAAGACTCTGAGAGGTGACTGAACTGGACCTTTAAGGATGGGAAGGATGGGAAGAAGGACATTGTAGTTGGAGCAACAAGAGCAAGAGAGGAGACATTGTGGGGCAAAAATAAATACGTGATCTGGCTGGAGGATAGGATGCGAGAAGGGGAGTAGTGGGGGATGTGGTTGGAAAGATAGATTGGGATCAGGCCAAGGAGTTTGGGTTTTACTGAGTTAGTAATGGGGAGCTGAGAGTTTGAGCAAAAGGGTGACCTGATTCTAGCTGTGATTTGGGAAGAGTAACCTAATGAGTGTTCGATCATGTGGGTTTTTTGGTTTGTTTTTGGTTGGGATGGGGGATGTTAGGAGGTTTCTGAGTGAGACCAACAAGAGCCAATGAGTACTGGATTGGGTGCAGCTGCAGTGGGAAGAGAGCCACGGACAAGGATGGATGGACAAGACCGCCAAGGCGCAATCAACAGGGACCGGACTCCACAGCTCTGCGCACTGGGGCTTTGCACATAGATGCTCACCTTAGTTGTTGAATGAACACGTATAATGGGTATTCACAGAATAGGGAGCTCAGGATTGTCTGAACTAGGAAAAGCTCCATGGAGGAAGAGGGACTTGGTTATACTTCTGGTCTTCCTCTGCTAAGACTTTCCTTCCTAATGCTTTATAATTCTCGGTGGGTCCACTTTCTAATCTAAATTACATGCCTGGAAATTGGTTGGAGGTGTGTCCTAGGCATTCTTTCTCTGAGCTGCCCCTATCTCTTGGCTGAGAATGTGCTGGTGGGGACACTAGTGCTTCAGTATTTGAGTCCCACTTGAGTGACCCTAGGTGGTGTTTTGGCCCTGAACTTCTCATGATACCACCTTCTGCAGGAGAGGCTTGATGATGGGCTGTTTCAGTGACCTGCACCTTGGTGGGGTCACTCCTGTTCCTCCAGGGTCTGCGCCTCCACTTTGGAAATCCAGTGTCAGCTCACCGGGAGGTATTCAGGCTCAGGAGGTCTTACCTGAAAAAGAGCAAACACAGGAAACATTAATACATAAGGATGCGGGTAATGGTAGTTCATATTCGAGCAGTATATTTATATACCAGGCTGGTCTGCTCAGCAGACCACATCGTGGTGTAAAGGTTTTGTGCTTTTTGTTTAAAATAGAAAATCAGAGCATGGGAATGGGAGGCAGCTGTAGGAAGCTGATGAACACAGTGTTTCTCAGTGTGATAACCATGCCGGTAGAATCAGCATCACCTGGGAACTAGTTAGAAATGCAAATTCTGGCCACTGCCACCCCCTCCCAGTCTCAGACCTGGACACTCTGATACAGGTGCTCTGCAGTCTTGTAACCAGCACACCAGGGGAGCATGAAGTCTGAGTACCACACTGAAGTCTGAGTACCAATGACTTACAAAAACTGTCTAAAAAATCTATGAGAGCTGTCAAAAATTAGAGCACTCTCCCCTGAATAGAGCTTGTTAAATACTAATGTTTTCTTCCTCTCCAGTCCATTTTCCAGACTCTTTGCATTGGGCATTAAATCTTATAAGCTCACAACTTAACCAGTATTTTATCATCCTTAATATTTTGGCCTGATTGACCCCCCCCCCCGAGGTCCTAAGGATGCTCTTAATGCTTTCAGCACACATTTGCAAATTATTAGGTTGGGTTATTTTCAACAAAGATCTCCACAATGAATGATGCTATATATTGATTGTATTTCTTAAACTTCCTAAGCTTGCCCTAAAGACTAGGGTGCACCTTACTTGGAGAAGGTATCAGTTTCTTTATTATATGTCAGTTGACCACGCTTTTGCTTGCATCAAATATATGGGCTAATAATTTTCTTCCCTTCCTCCAAAAAGAGAAAATACTAAAAAAGAGGAACTGTAGAATAATTTCTCCTGGGAAGAGTTTGTAGGCTCTAGGCTCTTTAAGACTAGGATGAACGGAAATGCAGAAAAGATAGAAGATAAAACTCAACACGTTTTACTTTATATTCAGTGGTTAACTCTGGTTTTCCTAAGTAAGGCTCTTGGGTTACAGATGAGGAAGATGGGTCCCAGCTTGAGTGGTTTTTTCGAGATGTGTGAGGGTCTGAATTTTTAAGTGTTGGATTTACTCTTGAGGCACTCCCAGCCTGGAGCCAAAGCTACAGAAGGTCCCCGCCTGGTGGCTGGTGGGCGAGTGGAGACTGGGTGTGGCATAGAAGGCTCCAGAGGACTCTGCGAAGCATCCCTGAGCAGAGTGTCTGCTGGGGAAGTAGATCCCCCGGGGAAGGAGGAGACCCAGGATTCCCAAAGAGGATTTGGGGAAGGGAGAGAGAGGGGTTTTTTTTGTTTTGTTTTGTTTTGTTTTTAGTGAAATAAATTTTTCCTGAGGTGTATTTGTTCTGGAAAACTAAACAAGTAGTTTTATTTACTTTTTGAAGATTTTTTATTTAGGGCGCCTGGGTGGCTCAGTTGGTTAAGCGACTGCCTTCGGCTCAGATCATGATCCTGGAGTCCCGAGATCGAGTCCCGCATCGGGCTCCCTGCTCGGCAGGGAGTCTGCCTCTCCCTCTGACCCTATACCCTCTCATGTGCGCGCTCTCTCTCTCAAGTAAATAAAAAGATTTTATTTATTTATTTGAGAGAGAGCGAGCGAGAGAGCACAAGCAGGGAGGAGAGGGAGAAGCAGACAGGGAGTCCCATGTGGGGCTCGGTACCAGGACCCTAAGATGATGACCTGAGCCGAAGGCAGCCGCTTAACCGACTGAGCCACCCAGGCGCCCCAACAAGTAGTTTTAAAACTTTTATCTGTCCCATCCTACCCCACCGCCAGGCATAACGTGTATGCCCAAACTGTCACTTTGGGTCCTTTAGAGGCGTTAAACCGGTAAATCTACATATACTTTAGATTCCCCGGCAAGGACTGCCCTTCTCTCATACAGAGGGGGACTCCCACATTTTCTTAGTGTCCTGCACGACTGCTTCATTAGCTCCCAGACTCGATTCTCCCAAGTGGGACGCTGGGGCTCCAACGTCCTGGGGTCGGGGGGCGGGGGTAGGGGCCAGGGCTGGGCCCAGCAAGCTGCTACTGCACGGGGCCCGCGGGGAGCCCGCCGCTGGCGTCCACTCCCGCGGCCCAGGCCAGAGGGGGCGGCCGGCCTCCCCACGGGTGACCCCGAGGCCGCCAGGGAGGGCGGGCGCGCGCGGAAGGCCGCGGGCCGCGGGCGTGCGGTCCTTCGGGCTGCAGGGGGCGCTGTGCGCACCCTCGGGCCCGGCCGCGAGCGCAGCTCTTGTTTAAAGGGCCGACGGGGCACGTGGCTCGGACGCAGCTCGCGGCCGCCCGGCAGGAGCTCCGAGGCTGGGCGGCTCCGCTCCGCCTCCGCCGCCGCCTGCGCGCCGCGCCAGGCCCGACAGGCCAGGCCGAGGAGAGCCGCCGAGAGAGGGACGCGAGCAGCCATGGCCGAAGCGGCGCCCGCCCGGGTAAGCGCCCCGGCCCGCGGACGCCCAGACGGGCCGGGGCCGCCGCCGCCGCCGCCGCCGCCGCCAGGGCCCGCGAGGGTCTCCTCCCCGCCGGCGTGGAGCGGCCTCCCGGCCCGCCGCCTCCGCCCAGGCTGGCGCCTGCCGCGTCGTGCCAGCTCGGTCCGCCCCGCCACCCCGGCTCGTGTCTGGGCCGGGCTTCCGGGCCGGCAGACCGGGCGGCCCAAACGGCAGGCTGGGCGGCGGGGGCGGCGGGGCGGCCCCGACGGCGGGGGACAGGCCGGGCTTCCTAGCAACACTTCGGATGACAGGCCTTGCATTGAAACGGAGTGGCTGTTCCCACCCCGTCCATTGTCTGGTTGGAGGCACGCAGGGAGGACAGGGTCGCCAGGCCCGTGCGGTTCTGACAACCCGAGTCTGAGGCTCAGGGAAGGGACCGGCCCAAGGTCACTCACCCAGTCGAGGCCTTAGTCCGACGTCTAGGCCAAAATTTTGGAATTACACCCCCATGAAGGTACCCAGGGTTCTACTTTGACCTAAGAGAAAGGTATGGAATGCTGTTTACCAGAGGAATTGTAGGTAGATTTTTTTTTTTTTTAAGATTAGTTTAGCATGTTGGATTCGATTATTTGGATTATTTTGGAATGTTGGCCGGTAATGTGCAGTATGCCCAGTTGGCAGAAAAGAATCCTTTGGCTATTTTTGACACACCAGAAAATCTCTTGCAAACAGAACGCAGTAAGTGGCTTCTCCTATTATTAATATCTCTTAATGAAGTTTTCTGAAACCTTGATTTTTGTGGATCCTTTTAAAGTAGGAGCTTCCCCTCCCTCTCCTTTCATTAATGAGTTTGCTGCTTCCCTCAGGAGTCCCTGAGTGCAAGAGAGAGAAAAGAGGTGGGAATACTGTGGTTCGTGGCCCTGTCCCCTGGGGAATACCCTCCAAGGCATCTCTGTAACTGCAGTGGTGAAATCACCAGCTCCCACGGAACCCCGGGGCCACTCCCTTAGAACATTTTTCTGACCATTTCCATCCCCTCACTCCTTTCCCTCTGCCATCTTACAGTACCCGAGAGTCAAACAGGACAGATTTGCCCCCAGCTCTTTCTATACAGAATTTTTCTCCTGGAGAAGGAAGAACCACATAATTGTTTTTGCATTCCCCCATTGCACCTTTACAATGGCAGGTGGTCAGTAGTTGTTACTGAATGAATGTTGTTTAATTGTGTGGTCATTCATTCATTCAGTAGGTATTCATTGAGCATCTGCAGTGAGAGAGGCACTGTTTTAGAAGCTGGGAATACAACAGCGAATCACACACACCCTCGGGGAACCTACGTTCTGGGGGAAACAAACCAAAACCCAGGCAGATGCATGGAATCATCCTGGATTCTTTTCTTCTTCTTTTTTTTTTTTTATTTTAAGATTTTATTTATTTATTTGAGAGAGAGAGAGAGAAATAGCAAGAAAGAGCACAAGCAAGGAGGAGAGGGAAAAGCAGACTCCCCAGCTGAGTAGGGAGCCTGACACGGGGCTTCATCCCGGGACTCTGGGATCATGACCTGAGCCAAAGGAGACGCTTAACCAACTGAGGCACCCAGGCGCCCTCCAGCAAGGCTTTTAGCACGAGGTACTGGGTGCACATGCTCCGGCTCATGCATCAGGCACCAGGGTGAGTTGAGGCACTCCAGAAGCTCTTTCCAAGGTGCCAAAGGACAATGGAATGAAAAAGGTGGAGAAAAACCCATGGGAAAAGATGGAGAAAAACCCATGGGAACCCAAGGGAAGAAAAACTTCTTGCTGCGTCCCTGAGCCTGAACCATCAGCAGCAGCATCGTCAACATCCTTATCATTATCATCTTAGCTGAATCAACGTGGGGCTTGTGTGCATTGAGTATTTACCACATGCTAGACATTGTGCTCAGTGCTTTCAACAAAGATTGTGTCATTCATTCTCACAATCTTCTCATGTGAGTACCATTTTCTAGATGTGGAAGTGAAGTTGAAAGCTGTGTGAAAAACCTTGCCCAAAGTCAGCCAGCTTGGGAGTGGCGGGGTTGCTGCTTGGACCCAGGCTCTCTGGCAGCAGATCTCATGTCCTCTGTGCTTTCAAGCCTGTCCCTTCATTTGCAGAGGAGGAGGAGACTAAGATCCAAGATGGAAGCCACCTGAGAAGCACAGATGCTTTCTGTCTTTGGCCACGTGTTTCCTCCCGTTTTCCACTTGCTAATTCCTTGGTCCAGCCAGTGTTTCCTGTCCCTCACTGATGTCCCTGCCTCCCTCCCACACCTGCCTGACAGGCCCGTAGGATCCTGGCTGGGGCTTGCCTTGGGCAGGTGTCACCGTGAGGCTTTGTGAAGTACGCATTTTGATGGTGTCATTCTGGTACCATCTCCCCTTTTCTTCTTGTGGACAGGCTCCAGAGAGGGACAAGCAGACAGAGGACGAAAGCCCTTCGACACCTTCTTTGTCACCCCCACCAGCTGCTGAGAAGAACTCCTACCTGTACTCCACGGAGATTACACTGTGGACGGTGGTGGCCGCCATCCAGGCCTTGGAGAAGAAGGTGGACTCCTGCCTGGCCCGCCTGCTTTCGCTAGAAGGGCGGACGGGGATGGCCGAGAAGAAGCTGGCCGACTGCGAGAAGACGGCCGTGGAGTTCGGGAACCAGCTGGAGGGCAAGTGGGCCGTGCTGGGGACCCTGCTGCAGGAGTACGGGCTGCTGCAGAGGCGGCTGGAGAACATGGAGAACCTGCTGAGGAACCGAAATTTCTGGATCCTGCGCCTGCCCCCGGGCAGCAAGGGGGAGGTCCCCAAGGTATCCCTCGGGCACCTGGGGTGGGACAGCCCGAGGGACTGTGCCTGTGAGTGTGTGGGTGAGCGCGCGCGACACTGTTCCAGGTGCCCGTGACCTTTGATGACGTGGCCGTGTATTTCTCTGAGCCGGAGTGGGGCAAGCTGGACGAGTGGCAGAAGGAGCTCTACAAGCACGTGATGCGGGGCAACTACGAGACGCTGGTGTCCCTGGGTAAGGCTGCCTAGGTGGGGATCTGGGTCTGTGTCGCAGATTGGCCTTCAGCAGTCTGTGTCTTTGCTTTGACTTCTCTTCTTCTCGGTGTCTCTCCAGCTCTGTGGGCAGCTGGGTGGCGGGTGTCCAGTCTTGACCCAGCTCCCCTTCCATCCTGTATGCAGATTATGCCATCTCCAAACCAGACATCCTGACCCGGATGGAGCGGGGAGAGGAGCCTTGTCCTGAAGGCCCGTGGGGCCAGGAGGAGGGCAGTAAGAGGGAGGCAGCACGCCCAAGGAGGCCAAGCCCTGGTGAGTGGGAGCGAGCCGGGGAATGAGTGGGGCACACTCCTCTCCTGGGCTTTCCAGACGTGCTGTGAGGCCAGGAGGGGGCACATGCCCTGAACCCGAAGTGGGGCCCACTGTGTCCTAGGCCAGCCTAGTCAGGGACGGGTGCAGAGCTTTTGTCTTAGAGCTGCTCAGTTTCTGCTTCTGAATGCGGGGGCCAGCGGTACTGGCGTCGTGTGGGTGGGTGTTGTGTGGACTCCCAGACACAGCAGACGTCAAGCGTGGACTTGCTGAGTGTTGTGTAAGCGGGGGCCCCTGCTCACAGCAGCATACTGCTGCCTCTCTCGCTTGCCCCTCCCACCTCTGCTCCCTGACATGAGCCCGCGGCTGTAGGGCCTGTCGTGAACTGGCTTCCCTTTGTGGAAACGGCCGTCTGGGGGGAGCGGCCCCGACTTCATCCCCGGAGCTGGTGTGGTAAGGGACAGTGGTTCCAGAGTTGACAGCACATCAGAGTCGTCTGGGAGGCTTTTTTAAAAAATAAAATTTAAGGAAATAAGCGGAAGTAGGGAGAAGAGTCCAGCAAACCTCCAAGTGACCGTCACACACATGGAACAGTGATCAGGAGTTGCCACGTTGGCTTCCTCTGTCTCTTCCTTTTCTCTGAACGTAACCGAAATACCAGTGTCACACCCAGCAGATTAACATCTCATCCCGAGTCCATGTTCTCTCCCCCCCTCCCCGATTATCTCAAAACTGTTTTCTATAGGTGTTGGGTCCCCTAATGCTGGGACACTGACGTCCACCTGTTGCATTCGATTTATAAAAAGTCTGTTAAAAATCCTGTGAAAGCCTCCCCCCGCCCCGCATTTAACAGCCTTACTGTGATAGAGTTAACTACCAGCCAGTTCCCGGATTAGAGTACACAGCTCAGTGTTTTCCCTCTCTTCACGGTTTTGTGACCATCACCACAATCTGAACTTCCCTTGCCCACCAAAGAGAAACCTGTACTTGTGGACGTTAATTTCCTGTTTCCCTCCCCCTGCTCCCCAGCCCTAGGCAACTTCTCATCTCCTCTCTGTGTCTTAGATCTGCTGCTTCTGGACATTTCACGTAAATAGAGTGCCGTGTGGGACCTTTAGTGACTGCCTTCTTTCGCTGAGTGTGCGCTCCAGCCTTACCCACCTCGCGGCCTCTGTCGGTACCTCTGTGGATACCCATGTTACCACATTCTGTTGCTCCGCTCCTCAGTTGATGGACCATCCTCACCTGCCCCTCTTTAGTATCATTTCTTTGTTGACATTCTAACATCATTTATCTTTTTTTTTTTTTAAGATTTTATTTATATCAGAGAGAGAGCGCGAGCGAGCACAAACAGGGAGAGGGGCAGGCGGAGGGAGAAGCAGACTCCCCACTGAGCAAGGAGCCCGACATCGGGCTCCATCCCAGGACCCCAGGATCATGACTGAGCCGAAGGCAGACGCTCAATGACTTAGCCACCCAGGCGCCCCTATTTTTAGATGTTTAGAAATGGTTCTTTTTGCCTTTTCATTTAACGTTTTGAATACGTAAGGCATGTTACGTTTGCAAAGTCAAAATGGTTTAACAGGATACATTCAGGGAAATCTTATTTCCATTCTTGTCCCCTCCTTGTCCCTACAGATAACCATTTTTATTAGTGTCTTGTTTATACTTCCAGTGTTTCCTTTCAGAAAGATCAGTAACAGGTGTATTTGCTTTCCCCCATCCCTGTCTTACGCAATTTGTCCTGGATATCACTTCATATGTATATATACAGACCTTCCTCCTTTACTTTTGTGGATGCGGAATGGCCCAAGGTATGAGATCGCAGAGTTTGTTTAACCAGTCCCTGCTGGTGGACACTTAAGGTATTTCCAGTATTTTGCTGATATAAATAATGCTGTAGAGGCTACTTTGTGCATAAGGCAGCTCATATTTTTGCCAGTGTATCTTTGGCACAGATTCCTAGAAGCTGCACTGCTGGGTCAGAGGTAAATGAATACATAAGTTTTCAAGAATTTATTCACCAAATACCCCTCCATGGAGTTTTTATCATTTGCGTCTCCCTCAGTGTTGTGAAAGAGGCCCCTTCCCAGCTCCCCCAGCCTTAAGCAATGACAAGTTTCCCTGGCTATCCATAGACATTTGTCTAGCCTGGACATCTCATATGAATGGAATCCTACAATACATGGTCTTTCGACTCTGGCTTCTTAGCATAGTGTTTTCAGGGTTCATCCATGTTGAACTGTGTATCAATATTTCATTTCTGTTTTCTTTTTTTTTTTTTATCCCGGTCAAATACACATAACATAAAATTTACCATCTTAGCCATTTTTAGGTGTACTGTTTGGTGGTATTAAATACATTATAATGTGACGCAATCCCATCAGAACTCTTTTCACCCTGTAAAGCTGAAACTCTATACTCATTGAACAGTAATCCCTCATTGTGCCCCCTGCCCCAGCCCCTGGCAACCACAGTACTACTTTCAGTCTCTATGATTTTGTCTACTCCAAGGACCTCATAGAAGTGGAATCACACAGCATTTGTCGTTTCATGACTGGTTTTATTTCACGTAGCATGATGTCCTTAAGGTTCATCTGTATTGTAGCAGGTATCAGAATTTCTTTCCTATTTTTAGTCTAAATAACGTGTTGTCTGTGCCTACCACATTTTGCTTATCCATTCATCTGTTGACAGACACTTGGGTTTCCACGTTTTAGCTATTGTGAATAATGCTGTTATGGTCATGGATATACAAATACCTCTTGGAGACTCTGTCTTCAGTTCTTTTCAGTATATACTTAGAAGTGGAATTTCTGGGTCATATGGTAATTCTATTTTTATTTTTTTTTAAAGATTTTATTTATTTATTTGAGATAGAGAGCAAGAGCAGGGGGCAGAGGGGGAAGCAGGAGAGCCAATGCAGGACTCCAGCCCAGGACCCTGGGATCATGACCTGAGCTGAAGACAGACGCTTCACCGACTGAGCCACCCAGGCACCCTCTATTTTTAATTTTTTGAGGACTGTTAACTGTTTTCTACAGTGACTGTACCATTTTATATTCTTACCAACAGTGTGCAGGGGTTCTAGTTTCTCCACATTCTTGTCAACACTATTTTCTGGTGTTTCTTTTTAATATTAGCCATCATAATGAGTGTGAAGTGGTATCTTAGAGTTTCTATGTCTAGTCTGTTGAATGGTTTTATTGTGAAAGGGTGTTGAATTTTCTCAGATGCTTTTTCTGTATCAATTGAGATGATCATGGGGGTGTTCTCCCTTCATTCTGTTAGTATGGTGTATTCCATTGATCTAGTTTCGTATGTTGAACCAACCTTGCATTCCAGGAATACACTCCACTTGGTCATGGTGTTTAATCCTTTTTTTTTTTTCTTCAGGATTTTATTTATTTGAGAGAGAGAGCGTGAGGGGGTGGGGTGGCAGAGGGATAGGGAGGAGCAGACTCCCCACTGAGCAAGGAGCCCCAAGTGGGGCTCAATCCCTGGAATCATGACCTGAGCTGAAGGCAGAGGCTTAAATGACTGAGCCACTCAGTTACCGTGGGAACGGGTTTTTTTCTTTTCTTTTTTTTCCTTCTTTTTTTTTTTTATTTGAGAGAGAGTGGGGAGGAGAGGGAGGAGGGTCAGAGGGAGAAGCACACTCCCTGCTGAGCAGGGAGCCTGATGTGGGACTTGATCCTGGGACTCCGGGATCATGACCTGAGCCAAAGGCAGACTCCCAACCGACTGAGCCACCCACGTGCCCCAAGAGTATATTTTTAATGGTACCTCTCTTATATGAGTGTGGTTGAGTATCTTTTTATTTGTTTATGGGCCATTTAAATTTCTTACTCTGTGAACTCTTTGTTCATCTCTTTTGCCCTAGGGAGCTTTTTTAAAATGCATACTAATGGATGCCCAGGTGCCTCAGTCGGTTAAGTGTCTGACTTTGGCTCAGGTCGTGATCTCAGGTTCCTGGGATTGAGTCCTGTGTCAGGCTCCGTGCTCAGCAGGGAGTCTGCTTCTCTCTCCCTCTCTTCCTCTGCCCCTCTAACCCCTGACTTGTGCCTGCACTTGCACACTCTCTCAAATAAATTAAATCTTAAAAAAAAAAAAAACAACCTGCAGGGCACCTGGGTGGCTCAGTTGGTTGGGCGGCTGCCTTCGGCTCAGGTCATGATCCCGGAGTCCCGGGATCGAGTCCCGCATCGGGCTCCCTGCTCAGCGGGGAGTCTGCTTCTCCCTCTGGCCCTCTCCCCTCTCGTGCTCTCTCTCTCTGTCTCTCTCATTCTCTCAAATAAATAAATAAAATCTTTAAAAAAAAAACCCAGAAACTGCAGGGGCGCCTGGGTGGCTCAGTCGGTTAAGCATCTGCCTTCAGCTCAGGTCATGGTCCCGGGGCCCTGGGATCGAGCCCTGTGTCAGGCTCCCTGCTCTGCGGGGAGTGTGTTTCTCCTTCTCTGCCTTTCCTCTTGCTTCTGTGTGCACGTGTGCATGCACGCTCTCTCTCTCAAATAAATAAAATCTCTAAAGATAAATAAATACAATAAAATCTTTTTCAAAAAATGCATACTTCCTAGGCCTACCCAGAACTACTAATGAGAATCTTGGGGTGCTTCCAAGGGGATCCTTATACATCAGCCTGGTACAGGACTTGGGACTGGATGGCACTGTTGTTGTTCTGAGCTGGGAGGCCCTAACAAGCCACACCCTTGGCTCTGCTGTGTCATGACTTATCTGGTACAATCAGATGTTCCTGTGCTATACCTTTTCCTTCTCTTTCAGCCTCTAAGGATCAGTGAAGTCCACTAGCCTGTGTTTGGCCTGATGCCCTCCATCAGTCCCAGTGACTACAGTCAGCCCTTCCTCAGAGGCTCCTGCCCCCGGGGGGGATCTCTGTGTTATCCTTGGTGTCACTGAGTTGCATTTTCCAGGCCTCCCTCCACACCCAGAGCACATCCTCAGCCCCGTCAGCCCTGCCCGGGAGGAGCCAAAAGAAGGGCAGGTCCCCAAGCACCAGCAAGACTCAGAGGCAAGAGCAACTGTACCTGGAGTGAGCACGGGTGAGTGAGGGCCGCCGGGCAGCCATGTGAACAGCATCTCAGCAACAGGACCAGACAGGTGCTACTGAGAACGAGTGCTAAAGCGTGAGGGTGGGACAGATGGTGGGCACCAGGCTTGGCTGAGCTGGACAGGCTTCCTGGGAAGGGGACCCCTGAGACAGGTCTTAGAGGAAGGGTAGATTTGGGCTGGGAACGAAGGGCATTTTCCGCAGGAGAAAATGGTCTGAGCCAAAGTGTGGGTCCCTGAGGTCTGCTGGGGGCCAGGCCCTCTGGCCTGGCTGGAGTGAGGGGAGGGACACACAAAGGTGGGTCCTGGGCCTCCTCAGCCTTCCTGCCATGGTCACGTTAACTGGACAGTCTATGTTACATGCCTAGCATGGTGCTGGCATGTGCCTTCTTCAGTAAATGTCCTCTGTCTGTGAGAGGCTCTGTGGCTTCAGTCCCCCCTTCCAGGGATCTCTGCCTGTGTGTAAAGGAAGTTCCTGTCCATCGTTTTACAAAAATGAAGTATAACTCAGAGGGCATTTGGCATAACGTGTGGCATATAATCCAGAGCCTTGTTGTCTGTCTCCAGACTGCACCTTGCTAGCTTGGCTTCTCCTGTTCCCATGCCCCCTCCTTCTTCCTCCTTCCGGCAGGCTTGACTTTTCAGTCTGGGTTGCTTTCTCTCCAGTTATTTCTGTGACTCTCCCCCAATGACTATGAGCTCCCTGGGGGTGGAGGTGATCCTCCCTCCCTCCCTGGTATCCCTGTTGCCCAGCCAGTGTGTAAGGAGAGAGGACCTTCTCATTGTCCCTGTTCCACTGCAGCCTGGCACTGTGCCCCAAGGGGCCTCCCCAAACCCGCTGTCCTTCGGAGGCCCATCAGGGTGATGGAGCTGTCAGCACTGGCCCAGATGGGAACGGGAGGCGCGGCCTTCACCGCTCTCCTCTCGCCTCTGAAGTGGACGCCGTGGAGTGGGCAGTCCTCCGGACGGAGCCCTGGGGCCCCCTCTTCCTGGCTGGCGTTTGAGCATGTCCGGGGTCTGCTTAGAGATGCCCGTGCTGTCCTGCACGAGCCCGGTGTCGGGAAAGGCCCTCACAGTGTCTCTCTCACAGGGCCTCCAGCCTCTGTTAAACGGGAGGAAGAATCTTCAGGTGGGGAGTCTCCAACCTCCCCTCCTGGGGACAGCCTGCCCAGCATAGGGCCAGGTGAGTGATGGGAGGGGGCCCTTGGGAGTGGGGTAGGAGGTGGCACAGTGGGCCCTGGTGAGGGGCTTCTTCCAGAGGGGTCCCTTCCTCATCCCCAGGTACTGTTGCCCTGGGGCTCTTGGCGACCCAGACCATCTAGGTACTGGTTTTCCCCCATCACGTTTGGCCTGGTGGGAAGGTGCATGCTGCGTGAACACAAGCTGCACGCACCAGGTTTGTGGTCTGGTGACAGGCCTCATGGCAACCCTGTGAAGTGGTTCAGGCGCACAACCTCCAGTGTCTTGCAGTTTGTACATGGTGGCTTACAATTTAAATTTAGGTCCCCCGCCTAGAGTCCACAAAACTGGGCTTATACCCTGATGAGCAGGAAAAAAGAAAGCAATTATTGCCCATTCTCACTTTGGGGTGGTTTTCTCTCCTAATAGAAAGGGATCCAGTTCTCACCCGATTCCATCATGGTACCAGCTTTGGTGGGAGGTAGAGGTGAGATGTGGGCCCACCTTGGGGTTATGGCATGGTGGGAATCCAAGCTGGAGATGGGCTTCAAATGAAGAGGTCTGGGAACCTTGGCCTTCACATGGAATAGGGCCTGAGACCCACACTAATCCCTAAGTTTAGGAATACCACGGTAGCCCATTGAATGCAACAGTTTAGATGCAAAGTTTAGATGATTCTTACAGACTCTTTACCGATTCTGTAGCTGGAGGACTAAATTACAAACCGCTGGGTCATTTCCAACGTAGAAATAAAAGTTCTGTCAGGAGTTATTTGTGAGGGTTGCTGGGAAGCTGCACTGAGTAAGAACCCCAAGGTCTTGACACCAGGTGCTGGTCCAGAAGGTTCAGCAGTTAGCAACAGTCTCCTGGGGTGGGATTTCAGTTCATGCTTCGGCAAGAATAGAAATTGCTCTTGCCCTAGACCTTGGAAATTGCTGGTAAGGCACTAAAGATTTTGTTTTAATAGAGGGTAAGGTTCGCGGTCAGCGTTTGAGCAGACCTTGGGCTGCAGCAGCTGAGCCGCTGGGTACTGGGGGAGGTCAGAGAAGCCAGTAGTCGGGGCTGATTCCAGAAAGCCCAGAGGGGAATAGCAGTTGAAGGATCTTGAAGAATGCACAGTGTTCCAGGTAGGGTCTGTGGCCGGGACCTTCCTTCCCAGCATCAGGGACCCCTGTGTTGCCTCAGAGCCCCCCTCCAATGTCCTGGCAGCTCCTATGCCTCAGTCCCACCTCAGAGTCAAGTGTGACTCACACTGAGGTTCAACCAGGAAGCCTAGGTCCTCGTGCCTCCGGCCTGTCCCTTGAGAGCAGGTGCCAGGCAGGTAGTGGATGCTCAGTGTTGATTTGTTATGTGGATGAGTAGCTCGGAGTATGGCTAAGACACCCGCCACCTCCAGGCCTGAGGCTGCTTACCTAGTCCAGTGGCCCCAGGGCTCACTGTCCTTCATCGGTGGGAACTAATGTTATCAGAATTCTTGGGGATCCCATGTGGCCAGTGTATCTCAGGGTCCAGGGGCTCCACTGCATCCTCCACCTGTTGTCTTTCACTCCATCTGGCCTCTGACCTCCCCCTCCTCGGGTCCCTGGCTCCTGGTTTTGCGGCTTTGTCTCCTCTCTCCAAGCTTGGCCCCCAGGAATGGGCCACTGGAACATCTGGGCCACGTGACCATAAACAGACTGGATGATGTTGGGAGGCCGTGCCTGCTCGGTAGGGCCAAGTGCACAGGCTCCCTGATGTGTGCTCTGAGCACGTGCAGGGGAAAGGACTCCAGGAAAGCAGGAGGAGCAGGATGGGTGCAGAGGTGGCTAGGGATGTGCCTGGGGGCCAGGGCTGGGGGAGTGGCCTGGGTGAGGGCTAGTGTGGCCCACTTGAAATCAATGGAGAGTCCTTTCTCCAGGTGGTGGTGGTGTGGTCATTAAGACAGAAGCACAATCTGAGGACGAGATGATGCCCGAGCAGCTCTTCCTGGGGGAGTCCCGTAGCCAGCCCGTGTGTAGAATGCCCAAGGGGCCCAGGAGCAGGACCCCGGGCCCTGGCCGGCTTCATGCCGCAGGAGTGCCACGGGTGCGGGGAGGGGACCCGCGGCCGCCAGGGGCCGTGGGGGAGCCGCCCCGCATCCTTCCTCGCCGGCGAGAGCGGACCTTCCCCTGCCCCGACTGCGGGCAGAGTTTCCGCTTGAAGATTAACCTGACCATTCACCAGCGGACCCACGTGGAGGAGGAGCACAGGGAGACGCCGGGGAGCCCGCCCCCGGGCTGGGGGGAGGCCCACCCGGCTCTGGAGCCGGGGGAGGTGGTGGTGCCGGGCCCTGTCATCCGCTGGCTCCCCGAGGAGCCCGGAGGCCACCGCTCCCTGGCAGGCAGGCCGTGCCTGGGGCGGCGGCCGGCGACCAACAAGATGTACCACTGCAGCGAGTGCCTGCGCTTCTTCCAGCAGCGGAAGAGCCTGCTGCTGCACCAGCGCCTGCACACCGGCACCAGCCAGGGCTGGCCGGCCTGTCCCTACTGCGGCAAGGCCTTCCGCCGGCCCTCCGACCTCTTCCGGCACCAGCGCATCCACACTGGCGAGCGGCCCTACCAGTGCCCGCAGTGCGGCCGGGCCTTCAATCGGAACCACCACCTGGCTGTGCACATGCAGACTCACGCCCGAGGCCAGGCCGGCCCGCACTTCCCTGCTTCCTCTGCCCTCCCTGGGAGCCCCCCGCTGCCCCGGCCCAGCCACAGCCAGGAGGGCTGAGTCGGCAGGAGCCTGCAGGGGTACCCTCCGGCTCTCCTGGGGCACCCCCCGCAGGACTTCTGTCCACCTTCAGGCCTTTCCCCTTGTGCCTGACGCTGGTTCCTCGTTCCGGAATAACTTTGGAGAAAACTTTTTTTCATTCAGATGGGAAGCAGCGGCCTTTTTGGTGACTGTGTGTGACCAGATGCCTCAATTTCCTGTTTCCTAAGTTTGTCACTTTTTGCCGCCTTTTCTACATTCCTGACTTAGAAAGGATCCCTTAAGGCTTAGAGGATGCCAACCTTCGGCGAAAGCAAGAGGACTGGAGATAGAGGCCTTTCCAGTAGGGGGCGATAGAGACATGGAGGGCCTGCAGTTTTGATACTGCCCACAGAGGTCACAGCAGATGGACAGACAGTTTGAAGAGTAGGCACTGGAAATTTGAGTTTCCTACTGTGTTATTTTGAAACCTTTTTTTTTTTTTTCCTTTTCCTCCATACGGAGTTTTTCTAGTGCTTTTGTAAGTGTTAAGTGTGGTTGCAAAGGGGACCAGGAGCCCTGAGGGTCAGGAATTATTCTGCCACCTCCTTGTGTGTGGGGATGGTAGAGGGGCTGTCCGGATCAGCCCGGGTGTGGGAGGATGCTTGGCTGCTGCCCTGGACATCTGGTGCCTTCCCGGGTATGCGCTCTTTGGCCCAGAATGATTCCCAATATCCCAACATCCGTGACTGATTTTGGTTATTAGTTGAGAGGGGGAAACTGAGGCCTGGAGTGGCTGACCCTTCCCCCAAGGTTTCAGTATTATGGGTATGCACACTCCATGGACTGGACCCTGCACAACACTTTAGGGATGGGGGAGATGCAGATCCAGCCCCAGAAGCTCCTCCCAGAGGAAGATCCTGATGTGGGTGAGGCTGGTCAGCCAAGCTGGATTCCTGGGCTACCAGGCCTGAATTGTCACATTAAAGGAGCAGTTGGTTTCCAAGAATTTGGGGCTGGTAGCAGAGCTAGGCCAGGATTTTTTTAACCACCTCCAGCCTCATGTTCCTCATCTGTCAAAGGGGGTAATGACCCCAGTGCATCCTACCTCACCTTAGGGTTTTCAGGGTCATAAAAGATTTAGAGGCAGTGGGCCAAACAGGAAGCCTGGTTTTGTCCTTCTTTTCTAGTTCAGGGCCCCCCCCCCTTCTCTTCCATGTTCATCTCCAGCCCTTTGCCCCAGTCAGAATCCCTCAGGAAGGACCTTTCTTTTCTAGAGTGAGTGGAAGGTCCCTTGGGTACAGAGTTAGGAGAGACTTTCCCATTGGGCTACATCCCCAAGGAGCCCTTTGTATTTCAGTGGAACAAATTCTTACCAAAGCAGTGAGGTTCAAACCGTAGAAGTTCGGGCAATAGCATCAGGCCTCCTGGAGAAGTCTTGATGGCAGCTAGCATCTTGTGCCTCTTAAATCACACCACTTTGGGTACTGCCTATAGACCAACCCTTGGTTTGGGAGATTTAAAACTGGGTCCTCGGCTATTTTGATTGTTGTCTTATTTGCCTTGGCACTATGTGAAGTGGCAAGCATTCAGACCTGCTTCCAGGTGCCTGGGTCCCTGGCTCTGCCACTTCTTGTTGCCCCTCTGACCCTCACCCCACATCCCAAAGGGGCAGATGGGAACGTTGCCATCATCTCTGGGGCAAGAGTGAGTATGCAAGTCGGTTGAGAGCCCAGCCAAGTTCCCCTGGGCTTGGGAAGAAGAGCTACCACCTTCCCCTGCTGTGCAGTCTGTTTGTCTGCTCCGGCATCCCCAACCCTAACCAGGGGCCCCACCAGTCAGAGCTGGGCTGTCAGCAAGTGTTCAGACAGGATATGGTGCAAATGGAGCTGCTCTGAGCTTACCCCTTCACTTTAAGAGCTAGTTTCAGGTGTTTCCTGGGGATGCCTCAAGGCTCAAAGTTCCTAGACCTTTCTAATGCTTAATGTCCTGTGTAAACACAGGTACTCCAGCAATAGCACAAGCCAGGAGTGATCGCTGGACACAGGCCCTCCCGTTTCTTCCAAAGCACTCAGTGTACCGGGTTCCTGGTTAGGCCTTGTCAGTTTACCTGGCACACATGCATCGTGGTGCCGGAGCAGAGCGGTGCTCCAGAACCCTGGAGGCTAGAACCTGGTTTGGCCTTCGGCTCGCTCCTAGCTCTGCGTCTTGGCTTCCTCATTTGTAAACAAGGAAGGGTGGGGTCCTGGTGCTAAAGGCTCTTAAGAACTGTGACGGTGGCGGCCCTTTGCCTTCATCGGTGCTCAATAAATATGTTGAACTGAAGGAGTGTGTGCATGACCTTCCTGCTCTCCGGGAGTCAGTCCGCTAGGGGAGCCCGTCCAGCAGGCGGGCCCGCGGCCCCGCACAAGCCGGGGATCCCGGGCTGCGGCGGCGCGCGAGAGCAGCCCCCACGCCAGGCGCCCTCAGTCGCCGGCCCCGCCCCCTCTGGGCGTCCGCTGCGGGGGCGGGGCCCCTCGCCAGACCAGTGGGAAATCGGCTCCGGGCGGCCGGGACCCGCCGCGCGCGGGCCGGGGGGCGGAGCTTCCAGGGCTGGCCAATGAGGAACCTGCTCCGGGACGCGGGGCGGGTCCCATCGGGGCAGGGCTACCGCCTGCCGGGGTTGCCGCGACGCCGACGCCCCAGCGCTGCTAAAGCAGGCCGAGGCCGACGGCTGCTTTAGAGCCGGGGGGATGATGACCACCGGGACGCTCGAGGCCACAGCGGCCACCGGGAGCTGTCCGAAGTCAACGATAAAGTACCTTCTCCTTTCTTGGCTGCAGTTTGCTAGTCTGCGGACTTAGCCAAAGATTTCCGAGGTTCCCGCCAGCCCTGACGATTGGCCGAGCCAGCTCTGGTGGGGCGGGGGAGGGGGCGGGAGGTCGGGGGGAGGGGGAGGATGGCCTGCGAGCGTGTTCACTCCGGAGACCCTTCAGGGCTTTCCTTTTTTGGACCTGTCCTTCAGCCCACCCACTCCGCCCCCTGCCCTGACAAGTTAAGGAGACCATCATCCCGTTGTCACCCCCTTTTCCATACTGAGACCAGTTGCTGTTGTCTTGGGAGGTTATTTTCCCGCCAACCTGGGCCCTCGCCTTCCTCCTGTGGAGCAGTCTTGCACCTGGCTGTGAGGATCCCCTAAAACTCTTCTAGGCACGAACTCTGATTTCAGTCAGGATGCCTTTGAGGGCCTGCTTGCTCTTTTCCCAAGTTCCCCAAGAAGTCCTCCCTACTGCTGCTGGGAGGGGGTCTGTGTTACAGAGGACCTTTGGCTATGTGTGCTTCAGGCTCAGATTTGACTTAGTCTGTCCCTGGCCTGCATGACAAGAACTGTCAAGACGAGATTTTTCCACATCTCCGAAGGGAAGAGGTGTCATCTCCTGGTAGAAATAGCTTTTTTTTTTTTAATTTATTTTTATTATTTTTTAAGATTTTATTTATTTGACAGAGAGAGATCACAAGTAGGCAGACAGGCAGGCAGAGGGAGAGGGAGAAGCAGGCTCCCCTTTGAGCAGGGAGCCTGATGCGGCGCTCGATCCCAGGACCCTGGGATCATGACCTGAACCGAAGGCAGTCGCTTAACCAATTGAGCCACCCAGGCGCCCCTAGAAATAGCTTTGAAATGCTTTTAGATACATCCCTGAGTGCCGGATTTGTGACAGGGCATTACAGGACTAGAAGATGTTCATCCTTAATCTGTGCAGACCAGATCTTCCTCCTCCAGGCTACACCTCGTACTGATAAGAGGCCAGACTCAGAGATGGAACAATTGCCCTGTAAGAGAAGAAAGGAAGGGACAGGTGTTTGATGACCAGTACCCAGTATGTGTTGGACATTTTGCGAAGCGCTTTTTGGAGGAGGTATTGAGGGAACCTCGGTTGCACAGAATTGGGCTATTGGTCTTTGGTTCATAACACATTCTGATTATTGGCCCTCAGCTTTTATGTTTGTTTTAGTAATAATAACATGTGCCAAGGGCAGCAATACACACTGAGTGCTTTTCCACACCTTCAGTTCACTTCATCCTCACAACTACCCCCAAAACATGCAAGATTCAAATGGCAGGGGAGGTATTGAGTCAAGTTCTAGTTAAGTTCCATTTCCAGCAATGTTTCCATTATATCTCGGCTGTCCCCGGGGAGGCATTCCTGATTTTCTTATTTTATTACTTCTAGTAATATATGATAAATTTTCCATGTCCTGGGGCAGGATATTTTTTGAAATATTTCTTTGTTCTGACTACTCTTAAGTGCTGGCTTTCAACTTTCTCTGGCTCCATTTCCTGGCAGCTAGGACCTAGCCTCCTAGTGTGAAGGTCACCCTGGGGCTGGTAAACAAGGCACCTGGGTCACAAGGCCCTAATAGGTCAAAAGGTCACATGCCAGTGAATGTTGGGGTGGAAGGGCCTTAGAGATACCAAAGCCAGAACAACAGAACCTTACCTCTGAGTCCTGAGTAATGGGGTGGGTTTGCTCTAGAATACTCGACAACTGAAATGGCATTCTGAGTGTGCATTTGTCTCCTGGGAAGTTTTCTGGACCACTCACTTCCTCACTTCTGCTGGGCTATGTTCCCAGATGCAGAAAAAAAGTTTGGTTAAGTAATTGCCTAAGCTAATATCGCTATTATGTGGTAGAGCTATGATTTGAATCCATTACACTCTGTCCATTCATGATGGTAATGCTTTGTTATTCATTTTCCATTGCCCCTGGGTCTTGGTTCAAGATTCTTCCCTTGGGGGCTCTGTGGTGTCCAGTGTCCACTGTCTTTGAAAGTCTGCCAGCAAGGGTCTGTTTGGGGGTCTGACCAGTAAGGTCTTCTGGCATGCAGAACAAGTTTCCCCCATTCTAAAAGACCCTGTAGCTGGGAATGGCTCTGGTACCTCTTTCATGGTGGTTGACTCACCTCCTTGTGTGTAGTTGCAGGAATGGCATATGGGGACTGGCCTCCCATGAGAGGCTCAGATCCAGTCTGCAGAGGTCTCTCTTCTGGCCATCTTGGACGCCATTCAGATTGTGGAAATGATGGAGTCCCAGGACAGCCAACCTCAGAGCGAGGAGAGGCGGACAAAAACAGCTGAGAAGTCGCCCAACTGCGAGAAGACAGCTGTGGAGTTCAAGAACCAGCTGGAGGGCAAGTGGGCCGTGCTGGGGACCCTGCTGCAGGAGTACAGGCTGCTGTAGAGGTGGCTGGAGAACATGGAGAACCTGCTGAGAAATGGGAACTTCTGGGTCCTGAGGCTGCCCCTGGGCAGCAAGGGAGAGGCCCCTAAAGTACAGGAACTTGGTGGGGTGGAGAGGGCTTGCTTGGCTTCAGCAGGGTCCTCAGACTCATAGTGGACGGAGTGCCATGTCTGCCAAAACTTGACCTCTTGGCTTTTTTTTTAATTTAATTTATTTTTGAAGATTTTATTTATTTATTTGGCAGAGAGAGACACAGCGAGAGAGGGAACACAAGCAGGGAGAGTGGGAGAGGGAGAAACAGGCTTCCTGCTGAGCAGAGAGCCTGATGCGGGGCTCGATCCCAGGACCCCGGGGATCATGACCTGAGCCAAAGGCAGATGCTTAACAACTGAGCCACCCAGGCGCCCCTTGGCTCTTTTTTTTTTTTTTTTTTTTAAGATTTATTTATTTGGGATGCTTGGGTGGCTCAGTCGTTTAAGCGTCTGCCTTCAGCTCAGGTCATGATCTTGAGGTCCTGGGATCAAGTGCCGCATCAGGCTCCTGGCTCAGTGAGGAGCCTCCTTCTCTCTGTGCCTGCCACTCCCCCTGCTTGTGCGCGCTCTCTCTCTCTCTCTCTCTCTCTCTGACAAAAACATAAATAAAATCTTTAAGAAAAAGATTTATTTATTTTAGAGAGAAAGAACATGGGGTTAGGTGGGGCAGAGGGAGAGGGAGAGAGAATCTCCAAGCAGACTCTGTGCTGAACATGGAGCCCTATGCAGTACTCGATCTCATGACCTGAGATCACAACCTGAGCTGAAACCAAGAGTCAGACACCTAACTGACTGCACCACCCAGGCGCCCCCGGACCTCTTGGTTCTTAATGCCAGTCACTGGTTGACTTTAAAGGGCTTGAAAAACTCCAGAAGAGAAGCATGACACAGCAGAGATGGCTGCACAGCAGGTGATGTGGGGCTGGTCGGGAGGGTTATGGTTGTGCTTGCTGCTCCAGAATGACCTCTGAGGGCGAGGCCTGGCTCAGGTGGGGGAAATCACAGAAGATACATGTGAACCTGGGAGAGGGGACGAGAACCCAGGAGTGCTGATCCTGAATCCTTCTAGCCACTGGTCCCTGCTCTTATCTGAAGCAGATATACTGGAGATGAGGTTGCAATTGTCTGGTCGTTTGGCCAGTGATGCCCTCTGGTTTGGGGGCAGGGAGAGGAGACTGGAGCTGGTTTTCACTGTTCTCTGAAATGGCTGTGGCTCACGTTGGTATGGGGGGACCTATACTTCCAGGTGTCTCTGACGACAGAAGATGTGGCCATGTGACTCCGAGCAGGAGTGGAGCAGCCTGGAAAACTGGCAGAAGGAGCTCTGCAAGCACATGAGAGGGAACCGTGAGACTTTGGTCTCCCTGGTAAGAGGCTGGCTCCTGGGGGCTTCCAGGCCCAGAGTCCTTGGCTTTATTCCTTTATTGAATCAAAAGAGCCTCTTGGATTTGAGAACAAAAAGCACTTTGAGATCCTTTGATTAGCTGTCTTCAAGCAGGTAGAAGGTATCCTTAATTCCCATGTTTAGGTTTAATGAAATGAAATGAAATACAGGGAGGTTAAATGACTTGTCCAAGGTCTCATGGAGACTGGCTGTGAATTGGCAGCCGCTCCTCACTATATTGCCCTTCCCATGGTACCAGGGGCAACTCTTAGGCACACGTCTTCTCTCACCTGCCAGCCTGTTTATCTCTGGTGAGCTGAGGCCTCCCCTAATTTATATTTGCACTCCTAGGACTCACTGAGCTGTACTCTGCACACTGTGAGTTCTCCAGAAACTGCTGAATGAAGGAGTAGGCATCTTCTTAAGGGTGCCCCAGGGCCATAAAAGGAGGTTGAGTCCTGGAACAGGAAGTTCTTCAGGCTGTGGATTAAGAGCCAGGGCGTGTGCACTTGTGTGTTTGTGTAAGACACGATTAAACAGATTTTGTAGCTGCCACACTCCTATTCCATTTCAGCTTGCACACCTGAGTTCTCCCACTGCTTTGAGGAGCTCAGCAGTTAGCTTTTTGTCCACCTTCCCCAGTTGGGAGGCTGAGGCCCAGAGCAAGGTGCCTTCCTTCCCTTTGCCTGG